GAGCAGCAGACAAAGGAAGAAGCAGGCTCCCACTGAGCAAGGAGCCCAAAGTGGGACTCGATACTGGGACCCTGGGATCATACTGGGACCCTGGGATCGTGACCGGAGCCAAAGGCAACCGCCTAACCAGCCGAGCCACCCAGGCGTCCCTGTAGGAGAAATTCCTAAAAGTGGAATTGCTGCATCAAAGTGTTTGTTTTGATAAAATTTGATAACATTTTGATAAAAATTGCCAAACTGCCTTCCAAAAATGGAATACCAATTTGTGCTCCAACTAACAGCATATGAGAGTGCTGGTTTACTCATAATCACATTAACACTTGGTTTTCTCAACCTCTTTATACTATGTCCATTCAACAGGCAGCAAAAAGTTAACCAATTGTTTTAATTTAAAATTGTTTTAATTGTTAGTAATATTGAGCATCTTTTTTTTTTTAGTTTTTATTTATTTATTTGAGAGAGAAAGAGAAAGAGCAGGAACAGGGAGGATGTTAGAGGGAGGGGAAGAAGCAGACTCCCCACTGAGCAGGGAGCCTGGTACAGGGCTCCATCCCAGGACCCTGGGATCATGACCTGAGCCAAAGGCAGACGCTAAATGACTGACCCACCCAAGTGCCCCAATACTGAGCATCTTTAATCTGCATATTCGTCATTTGTATTTCTTTTTCTATGATTGGTTTATTTTTGTTATTTGCCAGTTTTCTACTGACTTTCTAGATTTAGTGATTTATAAGCATTTTTCAGATGTTGGTGAAGTTAGCCTGTTATATGTGCTAGAGATAATTTTTCCGATTTGTATTTTTTTAGGTGTGTATTTATTTAACCATACAGAAGTTTTAAATTCTAAAGATTTACTTTATTTATTTATTGGGGCACCTGGGTGGCGTTCAGCATCTGCCTTCGGCTCAGGTCATAATCCCAGGATCCTGGGATCAAGCCCCGCATGGGGCTCCCTGCTCAGTGGGGAGTCTGCTTCTCCCTCTCCCACTTCCTCTGCTTGTGTTCCCTCTTTTGCTGTCTCTCTTTCTGTGTCAAATAAGTAAATAATATCTTTATTAGAAGAAGATTTATTTATTTGAGAGAGACTGCGTGAGTACATGTGCACTGGGGGGGAGAGGCAGAGGGAGAGGAAAGAATCCCAAGAGACTCCCCACTGAGCATGAAACCTGATGTGGGGCTCGACCCCACAACCCTGAGATCATGACGCTAGCCAAAACAGAGTCCAATGCTCAACAGACTGGGGCACCCAGGAGCCACAGGAAGTTTTAAATTTTAATATAATTGTATTTACCAGGGACACCTGGGTGGCTCAGTCGCTCTGCCTTCAGCTCAGGTCATGATCCCAGAGTCCTGGGATTGAGCCCCTCATGGGGCTTCTTGCTCAGTGGGGAGCCTGCTTCTCCCTTTGTCTGCCACTCCTCCTGCTTGTACTCTCTCTCTCTGATGAATAAATAAATAAAATCTTTTTTAAAAATTGTATTTATCAGTCTTTTCCTTTTTTGGCTCCCAGTTTTGTATTGTGCTCTAGAACAGCCTTTTCCACTCACAGATTTCAAAAACATGCACTCACGCTTTCTGCTAGTCCAAATTCTGCTTCATTTTTTGCACTTAAATTCTTTGCTCATCTTGAATTTATTTTGGTATAAGGAGTGACTTCTACATCCAGCACCCTTTATTGAATAATCTTTGAAATGCCATCATATAGTAAATTCCCATGTATATTTGAGGCTATTTGTAGGCACTCTGTTCCTTACTACTGAACTTTTTATTCTATTCATTGTGCCAGTGTCACAGTGTTTTGATTCCACTGCTGCATGCTGCATTCTCTCTGGTAGAATAGGGAAAGAAAGTGTGTGTGAGAGAGAGAAAGGGAGAGAGGCTCCTTATTAATCACTCATCATTTTCAGCATTTTTTATTTTCCTGGACGTTATCTCTAAACTTTCAGATGAACTTTGGTTTTATTGTTAGATGCATACACACATTGGAAACTTGGACTCTCTATGACAGTGTGGAGAAAAGGGTCCGGCAGGGGCTGACCTTAAAATTGCTCCATGGGAGGGGCGCCTGGCGGGTTCAGTCAGTAGAGCATGCAACTCTTGGTCTCAGGGTTGTGAGTTTGAACCCCACGTTGGACATAGTGCTTACACTTAAAAAGAGAGAGAGCTATGGGAGTTAGGACAAAGCACCTTACCCTTTCTTTTTTTAAAGACTTTGTTCATTTAAGAGAGCACAAGCAGGGGGAGCTCCAGGCTCCCCACTGAGCAAGGAGCCTGATGTGGCACTCGATCCCAGGACCTGGGATCATGACCTTAGCTGACGGCAGATGCTTAACCAACTGAGACACGGAGGTGTCCCATACCCTACTGTTTCACTGGCTGGGGCTAGGAGGGTCTGGTCTGCAGAATCAGGGCAGAGGATCACTAGGAATCTATGGGATTGGGAGCTGAGAAAAGGGCCCTCTGAGACCCCTGGTTCAGTTCTAATCTGTCTTCTCCCCCATCCTTAGGATATGAGGGACAGAATTTGGGGAAGATCCTCAAGGATTTAGAGATGAGTAAGGTGGTACATATGGATCGATGGTCCGTGGAGGTGATTCCTCAACAAACTGAAGAAAAGAGTGACCCAGTCCCCTTTCAAATCATCAATAACTACTTCTCCATTGGTGTGGTCAGTGAAGTGGGGTATGGGGGCTAGGGAGGAAATATGGGTTAAGCAATAAGAAGCTAGAGCTGGTTAGAAAGAGGAGGTAGAGGTTAAGGGGGCTGTGACACAGGGAAATGGTGGGTGGGGTACAGTGGTGAGAGTTGCAAGAAAAGACCATGGGATATACTGCTACCAAATGGGGGAGTTAAAGAGAGTGTTCTGTGCTGAGAGAGGAGGCAGGCCTCTGATCCTACATGCCCTGAACTCCCCAGGATGCCTCTATTGCTCACCGATTCCACATCATGCGAGAGAAATATCCTGAGAAGTTCAACAGCAGGTGAGGGAAAGGAGGGTGGGGGTGGACATACACAGTGGCAGGGACCAGGCTGTGGCCAGGTTTGACTCAGAGCTTTTACATGGCCCGTGGCACCTCTGAGAAGCCCCTTAGCCAAAGCCATCCTCTTCCCTAAGGACCAGAGTCAGGAGGTTGATGTCCTTCCCTGTCACTTAGCCTTCCTCTGCCAGCACTGTGTAACTTGTCCCCTCCCTCTTGGGCCTTTATATTGGCACTGACACAGAATGAAGAACAAGCTATGGTACTTTGAATTTGCCACTTCTGAATCCATCTTCTCAACATGCAAAAAGCTGGAAGAGTCTTTGACAGTCGAGGTGGGTATGATGAGACCCAACCCTACATGCTTCTCACTTATTTATCTTAGTCTCTCCCTCCACAGGTGCCCTCAGGAACTTCCCCCATTCTTAAACCTATTACTTCAACCTCCCAGCTCTCCAATCCCAATGTCCCAGGTTTTCAATACAGTGGTCCCTATTTCCTGCCATCCTTTGCAAACCCCCAATTCCTGGCCTTCCCAGTTTGTCATCTGGTGGGGGGAGGAATGGTGTCCATGATGATGCCAGGGCGGAAGGACTTATGCTCTCCTCTTTCTCAGATCTGTGGGAAACCACTGGATCTGAGCAGCCTGTCACTAGAAGGCATCGCTGTGCTGAACATCCCTAGCATGCATGGTGGTTCCAACCTCTGGGGTGACACCAAGAGACCTCCTGGAGATACCCATGGGATCAACCAGGCCTTAGGCACTACAGCTAAAGTCATCACTGACCCGGATATCCTGAAAACCTGTGTACCAGGTGAGCAGCCTTGGGAGCTGAGTAGGCAGGACTAAGGGGAAGGTGTGGCTCCCTTTGGAGGCACGCTGCTCCTCCAAAACCCATCTCCTTACTTCCCACCCACAGACCTAAGCGACAAGCGGCTGGAAGTAGTAGGGCTGGAGGGTGCAATTGAGATGGGCCAGATTTATACCAAGCTCAAGAATGCTGGACATCGGCTGGCCAAGTGCTCTGAAATCACCTTCCAGTAAGGAAAACTCTGGCCAGGGGCTCTGAGGGAGGGAGGAGGGCCAGGAGAGCAGAAGGGTCATGGGGATGGTAGGAAGGAGCTGTACTAGGACTAACTCAGTAACAAAGAGTCTTTCAACCAAGCTAAGAAACAGAGTTTTGGTATTCAGTTGGTAAAGAAATCTCCACCAATCTGCCTTGGCTTCCCTCAGCACCACAAAAACCCTCCCCATGCAAATTGATGGAGAACCCTGGATGCAGACACCCTGTACGGTGAGTGTTTCTTCGCCTGCCCAAAACTGAACCCTCAAGCTTCATGGATCCTAAACCTGCATTCCACAGCTTCCTTACGCCATCCCATCTCAAGTTCCCCTGTGCATCTTTCTTCCCAAATCACGGTTTCTTAGCCCCTGGCCTTCCTGCCATGGCCTCTCTAGGACCCTGGTAAGTCCCCTTCACCCCACAGATTTACCCTCAAATCTCTACTGCTCCAGTCCCAAGGGAACCAGGTCCTGCCTCTGATCTTGACCCCTTCCCTTCCAGATCAAGATCACCCACAAGAACCAGATGCCCATGCTTGTGGGCCCACCCCCTCGCTCCTCCAATTTCTTTGGCTTCTTATGCTGAGGGGAACACCTCAGCCTCCAAGCCAGCCTTGAACCCACCTCTGCGTTCCTGGACTCTACTCCTAGGCTCTGTACATTGCTGCCATGCCCTCCTGCCAGCTCAGGGGAGTGTTCCTCCACCCTCACGGTATTTATTATCCTTGCACCACCTCTACTATTCCTCACGCAAACGTACACGCATGCGTGTGTGCGTGTACACACACACACACACACACACCCACACACACACATTGAAAGTGCCTCATCTGAATAAAATGACTTTTTTCCCCACACTGGGATATCTGTTAAGTAAATGGTACACCTCCTTCCCATATACCTCCCCTCCTCAAATGACATAGATGCTCCCAGAAGCGAGAAAAAAACCAGCATCAGGTTCTGAGTATTTATTTCAGGTAATGGTAGTCTCCAAGGGAAGACTGGAGAAAAGATAGGCATGGCTGTCCACCCTCAGCAAATCACAGCATCACGTGAGACTACTCAGACCTGCTGCTGCCCACTGAGGAGGGGCCTGTTCTCACCAATGGGGCAAGAGCGGAAGACCCGGGGCAGCCGCAGCCAATGAGTGCTACCATGTGGCAGCTGGGGAACCGGGATCGCTGAGCCCTGCTTCAGAAGTCTTCGCCTGAAATTGGGAGAAGAAGGCAGAAACTGATTAGCAATGGACAAGGGAAGCCTATCTGTGCTTCTCCAAAACAGAGGCCCCCGGTTTACTTGACCTTGATCCTAGCTCCCTCCCATTCTCACCAACAAGTTTCATCTTGTCTTGTTTTTATGGTAACCTCTGTCCATTCCCCTCTTACCCTACAAGTTTCCCGGCTTTGAGGACCTTGGCATTCTAAGCCTGAGGATCTGCCCTTCTCACATATGGGCAGAGGACTCAGGTCACCCAATTTCCTCCACTCTTTTTTTTTTTTTTTAAGATTTTTATTTATTTGACAGAGAGATCACAAGTAGATGGAGAGGCAGGCAGAGAGAGGGGGAAGCAGGTTCCCTGCTGAGAGAGAGCCCGATGCAGGGCTCGATCCTAGGACCCTGAGATCATGACCTGAGCTGAAGGCAGAGGCCTAACCCACTGAGCCACCCAGGCACCCCAGTTTACTCCACTCTTGATATTATTTTTTTTAAAGATTTTATTTATTTATTTGACAGAGAGAGATCACAAGTAGGCAGAGAGGCAGGCAGAGAGAGAGGGAGAAGCAGGCTCCCCGCTGAGCAGAGAGCCCGATGCGGGGCTTGATCCAAGAACCCTGGGATCATGACCTGAGCCGAAGGCAGAGGCTTAACCCACTGAGCCACCCAGGTGCCCCCACTCTTGATATTATTAATAACAATAGTCATCAGTATCATCACTTATTATACTCCTGCTTCAGAGCTGGGTGCTTTACCCACATTATCTCTAATCCTTACAACAGCCCCCTATGGCAGATACTAGTTTTCCTACTTATTAGAGGTTCAGAGATGTTAAGCTACTTTCCCAAGGTCCCTCCAGCCAGACTACAGCCCAGGTCCATTTAACTTCCAAGTTTGGGCTCTTTCCTTGGATACCATGCTTCTTCAAAAGAAGTGGTGGTTTCTTCTCCTCTTGAGGAAAAATGAGTAGTGGTAATAAGGGAGAAGGGGGTGTGAACTAGACAGTGGGACCCTCACCTATATATCAGAGATACAAGCACCGTAGCCATCAACACCAGCAAGATGCCCACAAACAGGGGAGCCTGTCCAGGTCCCGCTTCTTGACCTGTGAGCAGAATCCCAGGCTTCAGTTAGCGTCTGCTCCCTGCCACATAGCCTCTGCCCATTCCCCCTCTTCATCCTAACTCTTGTCCAGGTACCTACCAGGCATTACAAGCTGGGTGCTGACCATTGCCAGACTGTTGGCATCGGCCAAAGACACATTGAGGCAGTAGGTCCCTGAGCCACCCTTCAGGACTTGGTGTAAAACCAGCTGGCAGGCGGGGCTGGGTGGCACAGGCTGACAGAGCCGCTGGGCAGGGGGCCGGCAGCCTGGTGAGGAGATGTCCATGCAAGCTTCCTTGGGCAGCCTGCAAGAGGTGTCCAGCTTAAGTCAGGGCAACTGGGAAGGAGCACTAGACAATGGGGGAAATGGTGTGTAACCTTAAAGGGGCAGAGCCAGGAAGACGTGGGCAATGCAACAGTCAACCTAAGAGTTCTCAGGACAACTAGTGGAACACTCACCCTCCTTGGCAAGAAACTGTCAGCTCAAATGCATCCCCTTCGCTGGATGGCACAGCCTGCAGGATCTCAGCTCTCTCAATACCCCCTGCAAAGTTGCAAGAGTTTAGGTCTGGGATGCCTCTACCAGGCCTCTCCAAAGGCCCACAGAGAGGAGAACCCTAGGCCTGCTTCCCCAATCCCATCCCTGCCTTCAAAAGAAAACCCCTGGGATTTGAGTGTTCTTGTCCCAATGAGTAACTCCCTCCGAGGTATGCTTCCACTGGCCGGCCTTAAGCAGTACACACCTCCCTCCACCAGCCCCCAAAGCAGTCAAGACTCACGGACAATGTCCAGGGTGAGTGAAAAGGAGCCGTATCGATATAGAACACAATCCAGGGGGGTCTGTCGCTTTGCCAGGATTAAGGTAGCTGCATCATCCAGCAGGGGACTCTGGGAACCTGGCAGGAGAGGATTGAAGAAGAGACAAATGACTCACCTGGAAGTAGAGGCCACACAGGCATTTTTCTAGGTAGACCCAGAGCTGGTGGATCCTGACCTGGAATCAGACAAGACCTGGAAAACCTTATTTTAAAGATAAGGAAACTAGAGCCCAGAAGGAGGAATGGGCACCCTAGAGTCACACAGTTAGGAGTAGAGTTGGAGTTTTAAGAAATCCCAAATGTTTCTCTCCCCCCACATCGTGCTGGGTCCTTGGCTAGACACAACAAAAGTGCCACCCTGTCACGCCTACCTTTTCAGCGTTCCTACCACAATTTCAGGTTGACCTGCTTTAGGATAGAATCCAGGGGTGGGAAATGGTGCCAGAATCTAAGACAGAATATTATGCATTTATACTTGCACAGAAAAGTGAGATCCGATTATTATGTAAATGACCACAGTGTGTTCCCTGGCCTTCTCCTCAGGAAATAGCTCTCCTCAGGGATAGAGAAGGAGCAAGCACTCGCTCCATGGCCCAGGGGAAGACACTGGTTTCCTGAACTCCAGATCTATTCCATGTTACTAAGAGGGACTTGAGGGCCGAAAACTAATGGGAGCTTTGAAGAGCTTTGAGCTCTTCAGAGTAGTGACAAATGCCCCACCCCAATGAACCTTATTCACACTGGCCCTCTTACCTGTAATACCTTCCGTAGACACGAAGGGGTTGGCATCTGGACCCTCAGGCTCAGGTGTGGGCATCTCTCCAGCTGTGGGCTCCACCGACTCTTTTGTTGTTACCTGTGCAGCTGTGGTTCCAGAGTGCTCTGTGGTTGACCCTTCACGGGTTGTACCTACAGTCTCTGCAAGTGTGGTACCTGTGACCTCTGAGCCTGGCACCTGCTCAGCTGTAGTACCTGTGCCCTCTGTGCTTGACACCTGTACGAGTGTAGTGACCTCCATGGTCGGCATCTGCACAGCTGTGGTTCTGGAAGGCTCCGCAGTTGGCACCTGACTACGTGTAGTACTTCTGACTTCTGCAGTAGGCACGTGCCCAGCTGTGGTGCCAGGGGCCTCTGCGGTTGGCACATGCCCATCTGTGGTGACTGGAACTGGGGAGGAGCCACAGGATGTGAGAGGAATGGCAGCCTGCAGCACCACCTGGGCAGTGATTGGGCCGGATTCTAGGTAAGTGTGAGTGACCACAAGGGCCCGAGAGATCAGGGTCCCAGTATGGTCTCCAAAGTCCCAGGTGTAGGAGAGGTCGGCCCCGGACAAATAACCACTGGGGTCATGAAGCTGGAGGGCAAAGGTCAAAGGATGATTTCTCAGGAAGTGCTTGTTCCCTCCATCCAAGGCCTGCAGCTGGGACACACTCACGGAGAAGGGCACCTGGTCTGGGATTGGAGCCAGAAAAGGTGAGAACTAGACCTGGGCCACAGCTGCTTTCACAGCCACACCCTCCAACTCAAGCTAACTGGACCTTCACTGGCTCCAAGCCCCACATTCTTCCGCCCACATCTTCCTGGCTCTGCCCCTTTAAGGTTACACACCATTTCCCCTTTCCCCATTCCATTTTCCCCTTTCCCTTCTCTCCCTTCCAGTCAGGCCAGGCCTCCCCATCTTTCACCTCCTTGCAACTGGCTCTGCCCCTTCCTGAATCCTTACCCGTAATGGTGAAGGCTGAGCAGGAGTGAGCAAGGGGCACGTAGCTCTGGGACTCCCTGCGGTGGTAGACAGTCACTTCCATGGTATGTGTGCCCAGCATTGCCTTGCCTGTCACAATGCTCAGTCCTGACACTGGGCCCCCCAGAACTTGCCAGTATTGGCCTGAGGTTTTTGAAAAGAAAAGCAGGGGTTGGGGAGGTACTGATCAAAGGCAACAGAGGGGAAGGATTAGAGACTGGACATCAGAGAAGGAAGGTCAAGTAATCTATTAAGTATGGTTATTTCAGATAGTATTTGGAAGGTTGTCCTATGAGGGTCAGGAAAGGAATCCTGGTAAGGGGCTCCATGGGATAGGACAATAATTGGGGAAGGGCCCCCAGAAACAATTATATTATAGAGAGTTGGAGGGGGCTAGGTGTTATAGAAGAGGAAAGAGCCATGGGGGCAATGAAGATTAGGGAAACTCACAGAGCAAAATGAAACGGGATCAGGTAGAAAGAGGTGAATCCAAGTATGGATGACTCACCCCAGGTCTTCCAGACATAAACAAAGCTTCTTGTCTGAGACCAAGGGCCAGATGGGCAGGCTCTCCCATCAGGGAAGATGCAGGCATCGTCAGATACCTGGGGATACACTGGCTGTCCTCTCCACACCTGGCTCCCTGAAGGGTAGATACAGAGTCATCCTTGAAACCTGGCATTCCTTTCTATGCATCAAAACCCCTACCAGGGCTCCCAGAGGGGAGCTGTGGGAATACTCCTTAGCTACATAGTATGTTCCCTTTGCTATCACCCATTTGGGGTGGTAGCAGAAAGAATGGAAACTGGAATTAAAGATCCATATGTACTCAATGACAGAGGAAAGAGACTAGAATATCACATATCAACATGTTTACAGTGTTTTGCCCTAGCTAGTGGGATAAAAACAATAAGAGCATCAGCTAACATTTACTGGGCCTCACCTTAGCCTAGGGTAGGTATTATGCTCAATTCTTTATATATTATCACATTTTAATCCTTACAACAAATGTTCAAGGTGAGTATCCTTGTATCCCCATCGTACAGAGAAGGCAATGGAAGCACAAAACAGTTAAGTAATTTGCCCAGGGAAACATACTATTTATAAATTTAAATCTATGTCTGTCTAAACTCTAGGTCCATTGGGCCTTTTGTCCCCAATTTTGCATACTATATATATTTTTTTGCTTTATCTGTGTTTTTAATTTTTTTTCTACAATGATTATTATAGAATATGTATATAATTTGCTAAAAAAAAAAAAGTAGGGGGAAGGGGGACACTCCTTGAGCTCACAGGGGACGCCAACCAATCTGAGCCCTTGGAATAAGGGCCTGGAGTAGAGAGGTACTCACCATTGATGATGGTGTTGTTGGCCCAGACGACCTGACCATCTGGCAGCACCTTTTGGCTTTCGGGGAAGTGCAGCGCAATAGAGAAGGAGGCATTTGCCCCAACAAGTGTAGGCCCATCATTACTGACCTTCAAGGACACCTGGCCACCTGGGAAAGACTAGCTGCATTAGCTGGGACTCCTTGGTTTTTCCTCCCCTTATACCTTTCCCCTTCCCATCTTCCCAAGCTCCATTCAACCCATATCTTGCTCCTCTTGGCATCCCATGCCCCCCTGGAAATTGCCAATTTCCCACCTCTCCAGCAGTCAGGCCTCTGTATTTCTGCCCACTCTGGATACAGCTGCCTGTTCCAGGCTTTAGTTGTAAGCTGCCTTGGGACACCAAGCCAGTCCTGGTTTCTGGGTCCTGTAAAGAAGGTACCATGAAGGCTCTAGGTTCACCCCTCAGTCCCTTGTCAGGGGATTTTATTTTTTTAAAGATTTTACTTATTTATTTGACAAATACAGATCACAAGTAGGCAGAGAGGCAGGCAGAGAGAGAAAGGAGGAAGCAGGCTCCCTGCTGAGCAGAGAACCCGATGTGGGGCTCGATCCCAGGACCCTGGAATCATGACCCAAGCTGAAGGCAGAGGCTTTAACCCACTGAGCCACCCAGGCGCCCCTGTCAGGGGATTTTAAATTACTGAATAGCCACCATGTACCACTCACTGTGCTAGGTACAAAGGACTTAAGAAATGAATAAGATACGGCCCTGGAGGGATTCAAGACATGTCCATACAATTCTAATAATTCAAGGCAGTGCTTAATATAAGCCATAACAGACATGCACAAAGTGCAACAAAACAACAGACTAAAGAGATTGGTTCCACTTTGGCAGATTGGGAAAGACCACTGGAGTGAGGAGTTGGCCTGTGGGATAGAGCACTCTGGGCAGAAGGACCAGCACAAGAGGATGCATGGAGGCATGATAGAAACTTCCCGTGTGGTTGATACACACTGTAAGAGATGAGGCCAAGAAGACAAGTAAAGGCCCTGAGTGCCAAGCAAAGGAATTTGGCCTTTATTCTGTAGGGTAGGCCACAGCAGGAGATTGTGTTTGTTTCATTGAGACATAATTCCTATAGCATAAAATTTACCCTTCAGAAGATTTTTGAATATGACCAGATCCGTGTTTTTGAAGGACCACCATGGCAAGCAGTGTAGAGGATGGATCAGAGGCAGGCAGAATTTCGGAGTGGGGACCAAGCAGACAAAATTATAACTGACCAAGAGAGAGGGCTGAGAAAAAAGGACATGATCTGATATGATCTTATTTCAGGCTTCTCCTACCCATTTGATTTAGCGATGGCATGGGCATCTGAGCTCCCTCATAGGGTATGAAAAAAGGATCTAGGGGCGCCTGGGTGGCTCAGTGGGTTAAGGCCTCTGCCTTTGGCTCAGGTCATGATCTCAGGGTCCTGGGATCGAGCCCCGCATCGGGCTCTCTGCTCGGCAGGGAGGCTGCTTCCCCCTCTCTCTCTGCCTGCCTCTCTGCCTCCTTGTGATCTCTGTCAAATAAATAAATAAAATCTTAAAAAAAAAAAAGGATCTATATACGCCTCACCCAGGTACAACAACTATCAACATCTTGCCACATTTGCTTTATCTGTCCTTTGTCGTTTTTGTTTGTTTATTTGTTGGCTAAAGTATTTAGAAGCAAACTGCAGACGTCTTTTTATTTTAACTCTACAATTTCAGTACGTATCTGTAAAAAATATGAACATTTTCTTGAATAAGCACAATGTCTTTTCACAATGGACAAAATTATAGAACCCAATTCATATAAAATTTCATGAATATCTAAAAATATCTTATGATTGAAAAAACCAGTATCCAAAAAGTAAGCACAATCTTTTAAGAGGCTCAGGTAGACAGGTGTGAACAGAATGTTTCCAGAATACATTAAGGAAATAGTAAAGAAAAAGACTTGAAACTGCAGCATAGAAGAGGGAAGTCAGATCAAGGAGAACTTCCCAGAAGTCTGGAGACCAAGGATCTAGAGAGACAAAGGGGAGAGGGGGATATGATATCTATATTTTAGCACAGGAGAAACTATCTTCACTCCATTTCTAATGTGTACTGGAAACCTAGCTGAGTCTGCGGGGGGTGGGGGGGCGTCTAGAATCATCTCATTGAGCATCTCACCACAAGAGTAAGAGAATCATAAGATATCCCTTTCTTTCTTCACTCCCAACCCTCCCTCCTCAGAGCAGCACGGGACATTCCAGACCCTCTCACCACCCCCACCTCCACCCCTTGCTCCTGTCACGAGGCCCCAATCCCCCAGAGCCTTTTCATGTGATGCTCAGCTGAGACCCCTCTGCCTGTCTCTTCCAGCCCTAGAACAAAAGCATGAGCTGTGTTCACCCATCCCCATCCCAAAGAGGGGAGGTGGTACCTCCTTACCTTTTCTATCCAATACCATATTCTTTAAGTCCTCACCCTATCCCAAGTGCCTGAGTCATTCCCTAAGTCTTCCATGTATTCCCTTTTGAAGCCCCTGCTCCAGCTCATTGTCCAGGGAGCCTCAGAATTAGGGCCACAATGACCCACTATCCTTTTGCCCTTCCAAGCAGATGGGATTATTTTCAAGCTCAGTCCCAAATCTCCGCATAGTGAGGGAGCTCAGATGCCCATGCCATCGCTAAATCAAATGGGTAGGAGAAGCCTGAAATATTGCTGGTATCTCCCATGAGGAGGGGAAAAACCAGAGCAGGTGTGCAACCACAAATTCACACTTGTTCATGTCCACACACCCCACACTCACCTTCTGTGGCCCCCACAGCCAGAAAAGAACTCATCACAGCCATAAAGAGAAGGCATTTTCTCAGGACCAGACTCATCTTGTTCTTTCTTCCAGCAACGAAAGACGCTGGGGGGCTGGGACAAGCCCCTATATAGGAGAGGGGTGCTCATTTGCATAGCCCTTCCTTCTCTCCCTTCAGGAGAAGCTTGGGAGGGGCAGGAGGACCAGAGAAAGGCAGAACTGACAAGGGATCCTGGTCACTGGACATCCGCTACTCAATGACAGTTTTTGGTTTCACTAGGTCACACCCTTCTTGACTGGGAAATCGGAAATAATTGGTGGAAGGTCAACTACGTAACATGTACCACACATAAAATTCATCATAGGCTAGTGAATCAATCTAGTTTTTGAGTCAAGCCAGGAAACCTCTCAGAAACAGAGGCCGTGCATCCCAAACCACAGAGACAGAATAAGGTGGGTAAAAGAGACGGGAAGAACCTTTTTGAAGCCCAAAAAACCCACACAACGAGATTCCTAGCTTCCTGCTGTTAAAACAGAGCTTCTGGGCCAGGTGTAATTTAATCTTAGGACGAGACACATTTTCCCTAGGGTTGGTGAAACGGCAAATTAGAGATCAGGAAATCCCTACAGATTCAGAAACAGGTGAGAAATTCGACTTCAAACCAGGTACTTGGAAAAAGCATTTAGCTTCCCCACCGAGACAGAAACTTGCGTTAAGTAGCCTCCGAACTAAACTTGCGTGAGGTGGAGTCATTTGCGGCGGGTAGGGCGCTGGATTCACCCTCCGCTCTGACGTTAACCAATAGGAAGGGTTAGGGGCGGAGCTAGGGAAACGCGGGAAGGAGGGGCGGGGCCTCTGGTGGCGGTAGGGAACTGGAGGGGAGGCGGCAACATTGTTTCAAGTTGGACAAATTGACAAGAGCGAGAGATACACTCCGTTCCATCCCGACCTGGGGCAGCAGAGCTGGGCGGGTTTCCCCCTCCTCCACTCCCCGAGAGCCGGGGCCCGCCTTTTGCAGGGTTCCCAGGCCCCAGCTCCAGGGCCGGGCTGACCCGACTCGCTAGCGCTTCATGGAGAACTTCCAAAAAGTGGAAAAGATCGGAGAGGGCACGTACGGAGTTGTGTACAAAGCCAAAAACAAGGTGACGGGAGAAGTGGTGGCGCTTAAAAAAATCCGCCTGGACACGTGAGTGGCCTCTGTACCCGGGACTCCTCTAACTCGGGAGCTCCTTGAGTGCCCCCCGCCCCCACCCCAAGAGGCGGGTAGCCGTCCAAGGACCGGAAGGTAGCAGGGAGGGACTTCTTTTGAAGTGGAGAGGTGGGTTGGAGGACAGTGAAGGGTTTCCCTGTGGAGAGTATAGGGCACTGTAGAATCTACGGGAAACTTCCTCCCCAAAGCCGAGTGATGCCCCCAAATGTGCAGTCAGAAAGACTCAGAAAGAGGAAGGAGGCCTCAGAGATGGGGTCCAGGACTCCGTAGAGTTGGGTTTTGTGGGAACCGGTGAAGAGCACCTTTCTGAATGAAGAGCCCTCCTCACTGCCCCAGCCCCACCCTCATCTTAGAATTCTCTACCTCTTTCAAAAGAATGGCAGTTGAACCTCACTGGCCCCTCTAGGGAGGCTGGGTGCTGCTACTCCTATTTTTTCCCAGTTACTTTCTCTCTTCTTGACCTCCACCAGAAGGCTTTACTTACCTACCCCTGGGAAAAGAAGAAATAATGACATTAACGTATCCAAAAGCCACTCCCTGTCCACCCATGAATTAACTCCTACAGCACCCTTTTTCTTTTCTCACTTTCCTAGGGAATGCTGGGGTGGTCTCTCATTGGGAGGAAAAGAATGACTGGGCTGGGAGGAAAGGAGTATTTGTAACCACATTCCTATCTCTGCTTTCTCAACCTCTCCAAGTGAGACGGAGGGTGTACCCAGTACTGCTATACGAGAGATCTCTCTGCTTAAGGAGCTTAACCACCCTAACATTGTCAAGTAAGTATACACCTAGAAAGTGCTCTGACAGTGAAGGAGGATGTGTTCTGTCTGTGTAGCCTGGGTCTTACTCTAACTCACCTCCATTCGTGGACCTCCCTTACCTAGGCTGCTGGATGTCATCCACACGGAAAACAAACTCTACCTGGTTTTTGAGTTTCTGCATCAGGATCTGAAGAAATTTATGGATGCCTCTGCTTTGACTGGCATTCCTCTTCCCCTCATCAAGGTAATCCTTCTCATCAACTCCTCCCCAACATGGGCAAGTTTTGTGGGTACTGAAAGGGGGCAATTCAGACAGAGTGATGATTTTTAATCTTGGCTTCCTTCCCAGCCCTCATCCCCCTACACACACACACACACACACCTTTCTTTTGTGGCTCTTTCACTGCTCATTATGCTTATTAACCCCTGGGCTGGTCAGGAGAATCAAAGAAGTTGAAACTCTAGTGAGTCAACTTTGTAGCACAGGTGGAAAGTCAGATGAAACTCAGATAAATGGGATGAGGGCACTTGGTAGATTCCTCCAAAAAGCCTTCCACTTGTTTGGTAGGAGAAATAGTGAATCACTGCTGTCTGTTCTAGGGCTGGGTTCTTTACTCCCTGAGCTACTTTCAGTCTGTCAACAAGCGTTTATTCAATGCACATTGAGCACATTCAATGTGCTAGGCACAGGATATGGAAAAGAGATGCAAAACTAAATAAGACCTGGTCCTTGTCTTCACTGGAAGGGCCTCTCACTCCATGGGGAGATACAGTTTATAAACATGTCATTATAATCCAATACAGTAAAAGGCTGTAGTCAAGCTTTGCAGTCAGAGAGTAGACCCTAATAGCTCACTGTGGTAGAGAAACAAAGTCCTCTCTCTCTTCTTTGTCAGAGCTATCTGTTCCAGCTGCTCCAGGGCCTAGCCTTCTGCCATTCTCATCGGGTTCTGCACCGAGACCTCAAACCTCAGAATCTGCTTATCAATGCAGAGGGGGCCATCAAGCTAGCAGACTTTGGACTAGCCAGAGCCTTTGGAGTCCCTGTTCGTACTTACACCCACGAGGTGAGACCCTCTCTGCATTTCTTCTCTGAGCTTCTGGGAGGTGTTAACAAGGACATTCACAAAATTACTAAACCTACCTGGCCAGCAGTTTCTCTCTCCATTAGATGGAAAGTATCTCTGGCACCCCAAGAAGTTTTAGAGTATGCACTGAGTTCATACTGTGGGGCTAATTGGGCTTTGATAGGTACCAAGCCAGGAAAGCTGGATGGCACACTATTAAAATTATGACCGCTTGTCTCAAGTTTTCCAGGAGGGTTGCAAATTGTGGGTTCAGAAAATATGGTCCTCAGAGTCATGGGCGAGGCTAACTCTGGTCTAAGAAGTTGTCTGTAGTCATTTAATGAGGGAAAGTCAGAAATATGGGAAGGATGAAGGGAAAGAGAGTTAGCAGAGTAACACTGAGGAGCTGAGATGTGGGAATCACCATGCCCTGTGCACCACCCCTCCTCTTCCTGCTCTTGTCCCCAGGTGGTGACCCTGTGGTACCGAGCACCTGAAATCCTTCTGGGCTGCAAGTACTACTCCACAGCTGTAGATATCTGGAGTCTGGGCTGCATCTTTGCTGAGATGGTACGGAGGCAAGCCCAAGTTCCACCCAGCTTACTCTTCCCCATATTCAAGAACACCAGAACTATTTCTCTGCCTAGACCTGTGGCCCTTCTGTTATCATAGGACTTCTTTCTCTAGAGTAGCACCAAGGCGGGTAGGGGGGAAAGGACAGGACTGTTGTCCCTGATGTCAACCACAATGTTGGTACAGCCTCAGACGGCCTTAGCCCTCAATACACATCTCCTATCGACAAATTGAGCTAAATCTGTAGCTGTTTTAGCTTTAGTTTGCATTTATTTGGGAGAATGAGTACCTACCATTCGGTGCCTCCTTCATTTGGCCTGTAGGCCTTATTGTAGGGTTCCAGGAATACAGCAAAACCAACTGTATTCACCTTATCCATACTGTTTATTTAAACTACAAACTTAAATCATGTCCCCCTCGACTTCTGGCTCTTCAGAATAAAGGATCCCCAAGACCCAGCCTTTTATAGGAGCTTTTGTCCCCTTTAATATAACAGTGGAGTGGGCTGCATTTTCAGATCAAATCAAAAATTTGTTTTATGGTCTTTTATTTGGGTTGTAACTGGGGGCTTAAAGACCATTAGCCTGTATATAAAATATGCATTTATCCCCCAGTACATTACCTTACAATTGCCCATATTCCTCTCTCAATTCATCAAAAAATATTTGTTAAGCACCTAGTGTGTACCCAGCACCATGCTAGGTGCTGTGGGGAACACAGAAGAAATGGAAGACACAGTCTCTGCCCGCTGTGCTCCTATCTAGAAGTGGCTGCATCACAAGGAGGGGGGATGACCGCAGTGTCTACCCCACACCCCGTGAGTGGCTTGGGATCCCTTTGCTACATGTCAGTGGCACCCCAGACATTCACCCCCTCCCAGCCCCACCCAGCCTTGGGGATCTGCAAAGGCATGGTTGGGGGAAGGAAGGAGGGGGCGAGGAGAGAGATGAAGGGACTTCATTGTCTCAAGCTCTGTGTGACTGACCCCATGAAAGGCCCTGGGGAGGGAGTCATGGGGCCCTGCTGACCTTCCACTGCCTGTGGGAACCTCCATTGCACAGGGAGCAGCTTTGACTGATGTCAGTGCGGGTCTTGGCCTTTTCTCTTTCCCCATTTTCAGGTGACCCGCCGGGCCTTATTCCCTGGAGATTCTGAAATTGACCAACTTTTCCGGATCTTTCGGACTCTGGGGACCCCAGATGAAGTGGTTTGGCCAGGAGTTACTTCTATGCCTGATTATAAGCCAAGTTTCCCCAAGTGGGCCCGGCAGGATTTTAGCAAAGTTGTTCCTCCCTTGGATGAAGATGGACGGAGCTTGCTATCGGTGAGAGTTGGGGATGGGCACCCATTTCCTCTCATTTACTCCCCTAGGGCAGTTTTTTTTCCAGGATGAAGGAAGATGAGACCCTGGACTCTGGGTCTTGGCATTTCCCTAGCCCCTGCTTCTCTCTCTCCCTATTGGCACACCCATTCAAATATAGGGAGGAGGGAATTGGGTGAAAGGAATCTGGTTTCCTGATTTCTTGGAACACCTGCTGCCCTTGTAGTCCACTGTCATATCACTGAAGTCAGCATACATCTCTCCCTCCAGCAAATGCTGCACTACGACCCCAACAAGCGGATTTCGGCAAAGGCAGCTCTGGCTCACCCTTTCTTCCAGGATGTGACCAAGCCAGTACCCCACCTTCGACTCTGAAGTCTTTCCTCCAGCCCCTACCCCAAGTCTCACCCTCTCCTCCAGAGGGCCCTCATTTGGCTTGGCCCTGGGCTATTTGCCCTCTGTTCTGGTCTGGCTGCCTTCACACCCACCTCCCCTTCTTAGCCAGCCAACTCGGGATATAAGGGGTAGGGGGAGAAACAGGTGAAAATGAAAGGAAGCTTCAGTATTAGATGCACTTAAGTCCCTCCACCACCCTCTCCCCCTCCTCTTAGTCATTGCTGAGGAGGGCTGGTATTTAAAAAAAAAAAAAAAAAGGACTGACTCTTTCTCTCGCCCCGCCCCCCACATAGGGTTTGCCATCCCAATCTCTGAAAGCCCTGAAATTATTATTTCCTATGTTTAAGATGACAGACATACCAATCCTTCTGCGGCCACTGTGTAAGACCAACTGATAGCAGAGGACCTAAGTTGGAACTTTTGAAAACCAAGCAAAACAAAAACATAGGGAGGGCCCTGTTTTAAATAATTAGGTTAAAAAATAGACCAGCCAGTTTATACCCTAGTTATAGTGTTTCATCTCACCTAACAGTCTAGGAGACTCAAGACTCCCAGTCTCTGTAGCCCTGATGGGACTACAATAGAAATGATTGCCCCTAGTCCCCCTATCTGTCCCTCTTATGGGCAAGAGGTGTCTAGGAAGCTCTAGGACAGGGACTGTGCTTTACCGTGGCCTTATGAGGCAAGGAAAAGTTGTCTGAATGTTTCTCTTCCTTTTAAGATTCTTAGTTCTTAATATCCTAGGTCCTATCTTCCTCTGAAGGCCAACCCCCACGGGAGTGGAAATTAGGGTTTAGACATCATTTTGAGAATGCTGACACTTTTTTAGGGCTGGGACTGAATGAGGGCATTGGGAAAATTTTTTTCTTTAAAAGAAGGATGAACAATTATATTTATATTTCATTCAGGTTATAGTCGTTTTTTAAGTGGGAATGGGTGGATGTGTTGCCATGTGCACCTTGGGATTTTGTAATGCAAATGTTTAAAAAAGAGTATTTTTTCCTTTTTATGATTTTGTCTCTCTTCTCCCACCTCTTCAAGTGTTCTTGCTATTAACGTTATTTGTAATTTAGTTTGTAATCATTAAAAACAAAAGTTCCTAGTTTTATAGTTTATCACTTTCCTCCTTTAATTACATATTTATTTACCGAAAGAATGATGTGAGAGAGAGAATATGAATGTGTACATGTGATAGCTGGTTTCAGAGCTCCCCTTTCACTAATCTCTCTGCGCAGGGCTACCCACGTCACCCTGTTTGGCCTCTTTTATGCAATTGGGATAGTGCTGAAAGTGGGCAAAATGGGAATTGTTGCCCCCATTTTATTGCTGGGGAAACAGAAACCTACTTCACTTTCCCCACAAACCTGAATCATCCCCTGAAAACACACACACACACACACAACATACATATACATACAAGGTGGCAATTCCAGAATTTCAGAGACTTAGGAGGGCCTTAGGAGCAGCAACGCGGTTGGTAGTGGGCTCCATGGGAATTCGCCTGAACACTGAATTTCCCGGTAAGCTCGTCGTTTTTCTTTTTTGTTGTACATCACAGTTTTCTAACGATACTTTACTCACATCTACATACGACTCAGAATATATCAGTTGTCTGTATGAAAAATTATTATGGAGGGTGCTAAAGTCTCCCCAAGCTACCACTTACTGGAGTTGCCTCCGTCTCAACCCCACCGAAAAACATCCCAGACCGCCGGCACCGGCCACCCCAAAAACTGCTGTCCTCTGAGGCCCCACAAAAAGGAGGCCGCATCGACGAGGGTGCCACTTAAATTCCCAGGCTCTGGGTCCTTAAGTGAGATGTTTCTTTTTACGCCGCCAATTTGTCATAGAGGGCGGGGCGCCAGGGTCAGCCCCCGCCAAATCCGGGGGGAGGGGCGAAGGTCAGCAGCGGCCTTCCTAAGGCTACTTTCAACCCCGCCTTGCCTGCCATTCAAGTTCCGAATCTTCCCAGTACTGGTTAAAGCTTCACTTGGACCCGCCTCCATCACTCACCTGATTAGATGTTTATGAGTCAAAAGGCGGGGTCATGAGGTTGTCGAGATATTATTGGTTGACATGTACGCCTGTCACCAGTGCACCGCCCCCTGTCTCAGAAAGCTCGCTCTTTAATGGCTCCTCACCTCGTCCATCTTCAGAGTTTCCCTCTCTATATTGGTCTGGGGCCCCGCCTATCCAGTCCCTCGCTCGTACTCGTTGGTAACCGCGCCGGAAGAGGCCCGCCTTTCTCCAGAGGATTGGCGGATTAGTGCACACATCGCCCACCCTTGATGGTAGGCGGGTAACCGTGCTATTGGCTGGGGCCCCCGCCCAGGACGAGGAGGAGGAGGAGGGGCAGGAGGGTTTGGTTGAGCTGCAGCTGTTTGTCTGTTCGACACAGGCTTCGGCCCGACGGGGGAGACGGAGCCCCAGGTACCGGGATGATGGAGCCCACAAGGGCAGGGGCGGAGGAGCCCGGGAGAGGAGAGCAGCCTGGCCGAGAGCAGAGGCGGATCTGGGCCTCAGCAAAGGGTCAGAGTGGCCCACTGGAGAGGGAAGCAGGGGGCCGGGCCCCGGCAGGCCCAATGGGGGCGCTGAGGAGGGGGTCGGGCGGGCTGGGAGCCCAAAGTTGCTGAGGCCCAGGAGGCGGCCGGGCTGTGTTGGCGGGCCAGGGGCTGGCTCGGGAGGCCGCGGGCTGTGTGAGGGCAGGGGCAGGCCTCATTGAGCAGCGCTGAAGAGGGAGGAGCTGGGGGAAAGGGACGGGGCCACGAGTGAGGTAAGGCCATTTGCCAGGAGGTGAGGAGGGGTCAAACCTGACGCCGGGCTGCGAGGGTAGCCGGGGCTGGGGCTCTCGAAAGGTCTAATTAGAAGGGCCTGAGAAGGCTTCCTAGTTGGGTAAGGGGCATTCTCTAAAGGGAAAGTGACAATTATAAAAATAACTAGGGTGCCCCTGAGTTGAGCCGAGAGCGATTTGGGTCCATTGAGTGAGAACGGAGGCAAAAGAGGAAAGTTTACTAATCTAGAAGACTAGTTAGTTGGAGAAGTAGGGCCTGGTATCAGTTACGGGAGCTTCTGGGAATGCTCAAGGGTGGGCCAGAGGATCTGGGTCTTGGAGGACCCACTCTTTTGTTCTTTTAGTATTGAGATGTGGTAACCTGAAGTTTTGGGGTACTCCCGGGGTAGCTAATGAAGACAAAAGTTAAAATTTTTTTTTTTTTTTCTGTGGCTGTTGAATATTCCAAACTCAGCCCCTGCACTTTCTTTCCCTTGGCGTGAAATGGTTTATGGTGCAGTCTCTCTGTTTCTTGTTACCAGCCTCAGCTGGGTTTGGCTGCAGTCCTGTGAAAGAGCTAAGAAGTTGGATTTGAGGGGTGTTTGTTTCTTTCTCACTTAATAATCTGGTCTGTGGTGGATACTGTATCTCTGACTTAGAAGCAGGGGATCAGTGATTTTATTATCCACACTTGAAAGGGGATTAGAGATCCCCTGTGATCTTCTGACCACAGTTGGTGAAACTTTTGTGGAACTTAAACTTGGGTATTTCCCAGGCAGGTAATGGTTAGGTGGAACCAAGCCTGGAAATGAGAGGTGATATCACTGAGGAAGGGATTTGAGGAAGAGTTAGAAATTCCATTTTAGAAGGTTGGCATCACCCCCTGTTCTTTGTGTACTTCAGAAGCCCCGGTTTCTGTGCTGTTAGGAAGTTGAATCAAATGCCTCAACAGTAAGGCATTTGAGGAAGGGGGTGAGTAGAGAAAAAGAAGATGGATGACTAAGGCATAGGAGGCCCCCTCCCTCATATATTTTTAATGGTCTGCTGACCTCTTTAGTCCCCATAGATTGAAGCTTATTGGATTTTCCCTTATTATACTTCCTCCTTTTACCTTTTTTTACAACCGTGTTTTATAACCACATTTCTTCTTAATTACAAAGGTAATATGTACATATTTTTAAATATTCAGGCTGTACAGAAGTGTAAAAAGTGTAAACCTTCCCACCTATTCTTCCCTCATTTCATCCAGAAAGGTCAAAGACTAGAGATAGATCAGACTAATCTCACTTTGCTTTAGGGGATGTGCTACAAAAGGCAATTCTGTTTTCATGTTCTCACCAAACTCTGGTCTCTCATTCTTTCCAATTTTCCCTTCTGGAATGATGCTCTGTTATTTATTGTGCTCCTTTCACTGCTCATTTTGTCTTCCTTCTATCAAAATCAACAAGCAGAGAGGTATACTCTAGGTTATCCCTCACCTTCTTAAAACTTAACATGGAGTGCTTTCTGCCCCGACCTGTGCACTGGACATCCTAGGAAATGCCCAAATAGATGGCCAATACTTTTTTCTCTTTTATGGGCAGGAAAGGAAGATTAGGTAAATCATTTGTTTGGGAGAATTATTGGATCTCTGCTAACGTGAGGAATTTGAGACCTCTATCTTCTGGTTCATGGTCTCTGCATGTTCAGATTATATCACTGACCTTTCATTAACCTAAAAGATGATGATGGTTCTCCTAAAGGGCCTCTGGATCTGTCTTTCTGTAGTGATGTGAGAAAAGTCTCAAGTTTCTCTGGATTTGAAATTGTTTTCCTCTAAACCTCAGTACAGTTGGGACATTTCATTCTGCCGCCTTAATTGAATTTGTCCTTACTGGCTTTAGAAGCCTCTAGTTTGCCCAGCCTTTGTACAGTGCCCTCAGAAACTTTATGTACCTCAAGGAATTTTTATTTTCCTTCTGCAAAGCCAGTTCAAGAGAAAATTGTGTGTGTGTGTGTGTGTGTGTGTGTGTGTGTGTTAATCGTCTCTGTAGGTTTTGCCATTATTCTCTACATTCTTGTATACCTGTCCCTTTCTTCTTTACTTTTTTTTTGCTTTTCCGCCTTCCTTTTTTTTGTTGTTGTTTTAAAGTAGGCTCCATGCCCAGCAGGGTTGAACTCAATGACCTGAGATCAAGACCTGAGCTGAGAGCAAGAGTCAGATGCTTGGGCGCCTGGGTGGCTCAGTTGGTTAAGAGGCTGTCTTCGGCTCAGGTCATGATCCCAGGGTCCTGGGATCAAGTCCCGCATCGGGCTCCCTGCTCTTCGGAGAACGCACTTCTCCCTCTCCCACTCCCTCCCGTTCTGCCTACTTGTGCTCTCTATCTCTGTCAAATAAATAAATAAAATCTTAAAAAAAAAAAAAAAAAAGGATGCTTAACCCGATGAACTACCCAGGTGCCCCTCCACCTTCCTCTTAATCAAAGCCTGACTTCAAGAAACAGTCTTACGCAGATCCTGAGTTAAAAACTGTATTTGGAGAAGAGGGCTTTCTCATTATTCTTCAAGTCATACTTGACTACAAGTCATACTTTGTAACTCTTAGTTTGCCCAGGGAGTAAGGATTGCTTTTCTGTAGTTTGCTTGTTTGTATGCATTGATACAAATTTGACTTCTGAGGAGACATAGGGTAGGAGAAGCAAGGGTTCTCCCTAGGACCCTTGGGAGGTAGGCTGCTCCCTAATCTTAAAGCATTTCAGATTGGAAACCAAAGTGTTAGAGAATGAACTTAAAATAAGGAAATGTAACAGCCCTCTAGGAGGAAGAATAACTTAAAACCCTACACAGTACTCTCCCACTTCCCAAGAGTGTTGTAGGAAAGCTTTAGTCATTGAACAGTAACTGAGCTAAGTAAGGAGCCAACCAGGTGAACAAAGTGTTTGCAGATTTCTGGGCCAGATTGTGGCTGTGGTTTAGGGGTAGTGGGTACCTTTTCAGAATGTCCTCTAGCTCTCATGGTTTTGGGTTTTCTTAACTTGAGTTTCTCAAGCTCAGGAATTAATAGAGATAATGACCCAAACTTTTTCAACAATTAACATTAGCTGAAAACTCAGGGAACTTTGTTTTAAGCCACAGTTGCTTCAGTCTTAGGGTGGGAGGGCTGCATATGGGGTGTGATTAGGCCATCTGAGCATAGTAACGGGTGACAGGAAAAGCAGTTAGCCCATGTGAGTTGCAACAGTACTTTGTGGGCTGGGTCCCAAGAGGGCCCTGCATCCAAGGGAGATCACAGAGAAGCCAGGGAGAGAATTGGTTTTCTGAGGACTATTAAAAACATTCCCAAGTGGAACTGAGTAAGAAACTA